TGTCAACTTTGATAAAGTCTGTTATGTAATCTAATGATTCAGCATCACTTAAATCATCAAAAGCAAACATACATTTTCTAAAATTCTCTTTCTAATCTAATTCTAATTCTACGCCTGTGTATTCTCATAGGATTTACTCCTAAAGCAAGCAGGTTCGCCATTTTTGATGATTTAACAGCATGATAGCAGATTTATCCCACCTATTTCGAGCGGACAACTTTATCCTCTGGATAAGCTGATTTATCCCCTGGCTAACGCTATCCACTGTTGATGAAACGCACTATCCTCTGGACAGCTCTATCCAGAGGATAGCGGCCATTTTTATCCATAGGATAGCGCTATCCAGCCTTGATGAAACCGGGCCCTGGTGTCCAGCAAATGTGTGTAAAGATTTTTTCTTGGCAACACATGGTAATTTGGGTTAGGGTCAAATTTTAGTCATGCCACATTAGCTACCCTGAAAGCGTTGGTGCCGAAGTTTTCGACGAAGCCCATGTTGTAGTCCCTTGGTGATACTTAGTGTTGGCTATTTACGGTATTGTGGCTGCAGCCAGAAAATGACCATAGTTCAGAAAGTACATTTCAAAATAGATGCTCTTTGATTCACTGCTGCGATCTCCAGCTACAAACACTGGACAAAAGAAGTGTCACCCCCTGAATCAGAGTAATCAAAGTTATTAACCTGAAGAGGCAAGAAGAATGTCAGAATATCGATACAGTTGAATTATTCAGTCAGAGCCGTTTCTTTTGTGAAATTTGATGGTAATAAAATGATACCAGGAGCATATCATTCCACAGTCATTTATCTCCCCCCAAGTATTGGTTCAGTAGGGGTGACACTTCTATTGTCCAGTGTGTGGACACTTGGTACTCACCGCCGACAGGGACATGATACTAGTACACAAGTATATTTACTTTTGACCTTTTTTATTTACTTTATTTTTTTAAAGATAATGATGGCTGATATTTAATGATCATTTATAGAAGTTGCAAAATTGCACACAGTAGATTCCACGTTACTTGCCACCTTACAAGTGGAATGTCGCTAATGGAGAACTTCTGGAGACGACGTTTTTCATTGGAACATACCAGTATAGCCTATATTATAACTAATATCATTGAATATCATTGAATAACGGTCTCTCTCTCTCTCTCTCTCCCTCTCTCTCTCATGACGATTGTCACGAGATGGCACGCGTCTTTGTGTAGATATTGAATCCAATAAAACTGACAGACAATTGTAGCAGCGTTGGTCATTTGGACGCTGTTTTTAGCTCTTTAGACCACTGTTGCAATGGTTTGGTAAATTTTGACTTGCAGGCGTACTATTATCACCATATGTTCTATTGAATAAAAGACGACCACATCCTTGATTATCCATCACCGTTTCCAGAATGCCATGACATTTATGGATTTTTTGCAATTTCTGGGAACGGTGGGGTATTCAGTAATAATCATAACACTCACGCCATGGGAGGACGGCCCGCAAGCCGGTGTGATTTGAAAACAAATCAGGATTGAAGGTCCATATAGCCTTGTGCTCGCCGAGGGATTCTGTTTTGATTAAGGATCAAAAGATAGCTGAGGAAAATTGACAAATAATTCGATCCTTGTTGATCCTTTTTCGCAGAAGCTGTATGATGTTGTCTGAAGTGCACGCCTCCCGCTCGTGTGTGGAGATATCTTCTGATTTGTTGTATTAGAACACTGTTGGTTTATGCCAACAAAATGTAGCAAACCTGGAAGTGCTACTAATCTTACAATATAATGCTATACTCTGTTGTCAGAAGTAATTTTGGAAGTATGACGTATGCCAGCCTCCTTGGCGGATTTATACTTCTTATGTGGATAAAAAAAGGCCAGAAAATTACTCGATGTGGAGCTTCCAAGCAGTGCGTCGGTCACTTAGGGGAAATATTTTCCTACTTTAAAAGCTTTATCTAATCCTATCTTCACTAACCCTTCCCCTGGATCTGATAAAACTAATGATACATTTAGTGCAGGGAAATTTATTTGCAGGCAAGCTTCACGTTAAGCAGAAAAAAAAGCTTACGTATTAGCGCTAATGGTGAATGTAATTAATATATCGTAATCCAGTGTTCCCTAACTTATCTGAACCCGTACATCGTGGAATAAATGGGAGAGACCGATCTATATCTTGTAAATGGTCCAGGTTACATCAGAATTACTTTTGCGATTTCGCCAATGAAGAGAAACCACTGCCTAATAACCCGTATTTAGTCGCGCGCAGACGCAGGCATTTAAAATAAATTTATAAAAATAAATAAATAAATAAAAATACAGGCCTTGCCTAAGCTAAACGTACCCCTCCCCACATACGCCTCATGAGTTCATACTGTATGCCTGAGTCAGGGTGTGGTCTCAGCCTACGGACGGCTGGTGTAAAAATGCACAATATTTCAGTCAAATATCTGGCTCGGCGGACACAGGCAGTGCACTTATCGTTCTCTGTCCTCAGTCTTTATTTAATTTGATTGCCGAACAACGCTTCAACGTGCACGCGTGCCATTACACTGAGCGGAAAATGAAGTCAAAGTAATAGTGTTTCCCCGTTGATTAATAATTATCGAAGGTTAAAATTGAAAGCACTTCCAGTCAGCGACGTAGGTGTGATATCGCACATGGGTCAGAGATTGGAACACAATGGGGACATTTCGCCCAAGACTGAGTTCTACGCAAGTTCAAAGGTTTAATTTCGCACTTGTTTCTGCGTAGGGATGTATCGCTTACATTACCAAGTACGAACCCGACAACATCAGTGGTCGTTAGTGTGTTGTTTGACATGGGTAAAATAATTCACTCCGGTTACAACGTGTTGTCTCTCTTTTCACGTGACATCAGGCCCTTAGTTCACATTTACAGTTATTCAAACACATAAAGAGCAAAAGTGCACTTAAGTCTTGCGGTCCAGACGAGAAGGATGTCACTTTCAGTGGCTGAAGAAAATATGATCACACCACTTCCAGGTGCTATTAGACCACTGGGGTAAACTGTCAGTGCCCATTATTTTTCAATCCCTCGTCCCTGTTAAAATTGCCTCAGATGGGTCGCGTGGGTGGACTGGATGTCTTAAGGGAGAACGCTGCGTTCCATCTTTGTAATTGCTCTGGTTAGGAAGGATTACAACACGGCGTGTGTCCTCACTAATGGCGGTTTCCATGGAAGTGCCTCTTCCATTTACAGCAGGCTGTACAGCACGCAGATACCTAGGGGGCGGAGAGCACGTGCAAGATGCAGAAATAAATTTTTATTTCTCAAGTAATATCAATAAAATAATAAATATCAACATAATTTGAGTTATGCGAAATGTATAACAAAGGAGTGATCGGTTTTCAAATATCAAAAACGAATATTAGTTATAATTGTTATTATAATTTTCCAATGTGTCATTAGGATTTAGATTACTTGCATTTAAATTTACAAATTCTGTTGATGAAGAGGTTCGAAGGGGTCGCGGTGGTTCACATTATTCAAGAAAAGTGGCCAAGCCTTTGCAAGTAGCTTTAAATCTATTATATGTTAACACGCTGACTACATTTTGACCTCTTCTCCACTCTTAGAGCAAATAATCACATCAGCGTTCCATATTGTCTAGAGATAGAATGTTGTCTTGGAAGCAGGCAAATGTTAACTTAATAAAGTATGGTGCTAGCTGACCTAACGGGACTGAACGGTCGTATTCTAAATATAAGTCTCTTTGTTACATATGAAACAGATAGTTGGAGGAGTTAAATACGATTCGCTTTGTTACTCTTAAATATACTCTAATCCTAAGACTTAAACTATTGAATCTTGAAAGAAATCAAATAAAGTATTGGAATATGACAGCCGTTGGAAATTTCTGAATATTAACCGTATATATCTTAGAGCTTCTTCCCAATTAAAATTGCTGTTGAGCAGAATATAGAAAAGCTGCTGATTATACGAACACGTTAGAAACAGGAGGAGGCGTGTTAATCTATAGCATTCAGCGAGAGTCACCGCTGGGGTGGATTGCTTTCCATAGAACGACAGTTCCAATGGGAATGGGCCCTTAGTCTAAAGGTCACTGTGGGTTAGCGGTGTGACAGGAATGGTAGTCCTAGAAATGGAAGTACAGGTTCCCATATGATTAGTGCAGGTTAGGGTTAGCGGTGTGACAGGAATGGTAGTCCTAGGAATGGAAGTCCAGGTTCCCATATGATAAGCACAGGTTAGGGTTAGCGGTGTGACTGGAATGGTAGTCCTAGGAATGAATGTCCAGGTTCACATATGATTAGTACAGGTTAGGGTTAGTCCGAGTATTAGAGTAAGTATACTGGATAATGGTCGCCTGTACAAAGTAATGGAGAACGGACTACGGTTCCTAGCGGACTACCTTTCCGTCACACCTTGACGTCTGGTGGTGTATGTACTCCCTGTATCTGGTAAAAGGCTTGCAGTGAGGTACAAGTGGGACTAGACTCTGTATACCTTCAGGTATTTCTAGACTAAGTACTGCGTCTGAGAAAATCTTCCTTATGTGTACTTTGAAAGTTCAATGTTAAGCAATGTGCAGTTAGGCATGAAATGCATTTCCTAAAAAAGAAACACAAGCTATAAGTGCCATCAGCGGAAGATCGTGATTGACTCCTACCTTGGTTTCGAACCAACTTTCCCATTTTCTGACATAGATTTAATTCGATTTAGAAGTAGAAATAGACATTATTGTCGGACCAAATGTAATTCCCATATCCTGCTTTCCATCTTTCCTTTATTCATGCGTTGATAAGTTATGTTCAGAGAACACAAGGTAGCGATGTTTGGAGGTATTAACTGTTTGAAGATATTACAGCGGATGTCTGACAGTCTCAGAGGAGCATTAATCAAAGTCAGATGTTACAAAGAGCGGCGGCAGTAGGGTTTATTAATTAATTAATTAATTAATTAATTAATTATTTATTTATCGTTTGCTTCTTCCTTACATTATTATCAACATTGATGAATTTTACAGAAGAAAAATGGCAATGGTCTTTGGCAATGTCACCTCACGTGTCGGAGTCGTGTGTCAGTTCCAAGTATCAGTGTCATGTGTCACGTGTCAGTGTCCCGTGTCACTGTCACGTGTCAGTTACAAGTATCAGTGTCAAGTATCAGTGTCACGTGTCAGTGTCCCGTGTCAGTTCCAAGTATCAGTATCAAGTGTCAGTGTCCCGTGTCAGTGTCCCGTGTCAGTTCCAAGTATCAGTATCAAGTGTCAGTGTCCCGTGTCAGTGTCCCGTGTCAGTTCCAAGTATCAGTATCAAGTGTCAGTGTCCCGTGTCAGTGTCCCGTGTCAGTTCCAAGTATCAGTATCAAGTGTCAGTGTCCCGTGTCAGTGTCCCGTGTCAGTTCCAAGTATCAGTATCAAGTGTCAGTGTCCCGTGTCAGTGTCCCGTGTCAGTTCCAAGTATCAGTATCAAGTGTCAGTGTCCCGTGTCAGTGTCCCGTGTCAGTTCCAAGTATCAGTATCAAGTGTCAGTGTCCCGTGTCAGTGTCCCGTGTCAGTTCCAAGTATCAGTATCAAGTGTCAGTGTCCCGTGTCAGTGTCCCGTGTCAGTTCCAAGTATCAGTATCAAGTGTCAGTGTCCCGTGTCAGTGTCCCGTGTCAGTTCCAAGTATCAGTATCAAGTGTCAGTGTCCCGTGTCAGTGTCCCGTGTCAGTTCCAAGTATCAGTATCAAGTGTCAGTGTCCCGTGTCAGTGTCCCGTGTCAGTTCCAAGTATCAGTATCAAGTGTCAGTGTCCCGTGTCAGTGTCCCGTGTCAGTTCCAAGTATCAGTATCAAGTGTCAGTGTCCCGTGTCAGTGTCCCGTGTCAGTTCCAAGTATCAGTATCAAGTGTCAGTGTCCCGTGTCAGTGTCCCGTGTCAGTTCCAAGTATCAGTATCAAGTGTCAGTGTCCCGTGTCAGTGTCCCGTGTCAGTTCCAAGTATCAGTATCAAGTGTCAGTGTCCCGTGTCAGTTCCAAGTATCAGTATCAAGTGTCAGTGTCCCGTGTCAGTGTCACGTGTCAGTTACAAGTATCAGTGTCAAGTATCAGTGTCATGTGTCAGTGTCCCGTGTTAGTTCCAAGTATCAGTATCAAGTGTCATTGTAACGTCATGTGTCATTTGTCAGAGTCTTGTTGACCCATACGTCTTTCACTTCCACACAGTGTTTGCATCTTGTCATTTGTCAGAGTCTTGTGGACCCACACGTCTTTCACTTCCACACAGTGTTCGCATCTTTTCATAACCCGAATGGATTCGACTCGGGGTCCGCCTGTATTCTATGACGCTTTCCTATTCCGACAAAATCTGGACGTGATTTCTTGATCTGCTGACTTATGGTATATTAGCAGGCACATGTAAGTCTGTAACAAGATAACGAAAAAATAGATAGTGTAGCCATTTTGAAACATGGCTGGCAAGGGTATTCTTATACATATTGATGGTCCTGTGCTCTGTCAATCTAAATCTCGGTGTAGTTATTTTGCTTTCATTTATGCAAGCGGTGCCGGTATGACCGACTGTGCATTAAAAAAGACCAACATTCTCCACTAATCCGGTGTGACGACCATGCTGGCTTTCCTACAAAATGTGACACAATTATGAAACTGTGAAATATACTTAAAGCAGGTGTAATTTGACTGTGAAGGTGGTTGAGTCTAAATGTACCTGATTTTTTTTTTTATTTTTTATTTTTTTTTTTATAATTTATTATTTATTTATTTATTTATTATTATTTTTTTTTTTTTTTTTGCATTTGGGTCATTGTACTACACTTTAATAAATGGTACTCTACAGTGCCCAGTTTCATCAACACTGGATAGCGGTATCCTGTTGATAACACTTTCCTTAGGATAAAATTGTTTTCCTCTGGACATTTATCCTGGGGATAGCAGCCTTTATTAACCACTGGAAAGCAATATCAGATACAAAAATAAGTATCTAGTGTTTAGTAAACTTTACTTTACCCACAAGATAACACATTTATCTAATGGATAGTGTTATCCAGAGGAAGACGCTATCCAGTGTTGATAAAACTGGACCCACAAAAGTCTAAGAAATTCATACTCCAAGTGGTTTTTTATACTGTAAAATCAAAGTCGACTTAACACTCGTGAGCGTACACACACACTCGCACATGCGCGCCTACACACATTTTCGATAAGACGAACAGGCATACAGTTCTAAAAATATCCCTGGTACCTCTTGATGCATCGATGATAATTTCGAGTTGGATTTATATTTTAAATATACTTTATGATATATTAATGCACTATAATCACGGCGTAATTTACCCTGAGAGCTATTATGTGTAATTTACACTGTAGATTGAGTTCAAGTTGAAATTACGGATTCATATCCGCCTCAGATTATTGCTGTATTTCACAGATTGTTTCTTGCGCTATAGTGCCTGTGAGCATGTTACTGTGTTCTCTCCAAAGAACGATAATTCACGAAAAAGTATGTCTGTTTGTCCGTCTTGTCGTCTGTCTGAATCTCTCTCTCATTCTCTCTCTCTCTCTCTCTCTCTCTCTCTGTCTCTCATTCTCTCTCTCTCTCTCATTCTCATTCTCTCTCTCTCTCTCTCTCTCTCTCTCTCTCTCTCTCTCTTCCCATCGCCCCTTAACCTTTTAGTAGGAATGAAATGTGCGTGACCTTTTTCTAATCGCAACAGCTCTCAATTATATAAAAACGATATGTTAAAACGGTGTGAGCCGCATGCATAAGAACCACGGTGAAATCTCTCCCGGGAAGAGGCGATAAAGAGAATGATTATAAATTGCTAACTTGGGTATTAATTGCAGACCGCCTTGTCTCGCTAGATTTTGATCGATTGATTTAACTGACAACAGCGCATCACTGTTCTATCAGGTTGCCATAAAGTAGCGAGCAATCTGGAAGTCAGCTCTATGATTCGTTTCTTTATCCATCTTCCAGTCCCTATCACGCCGGCGGGGAAGCAGCATCAGAAACCAGAGCAAATCGACAGCGGAGTTCTCACTGCGATGACTTAGCCAGCGGCGGTTTCAGAGACAGGTCTCGCGCCGAAGGTGCCTATAATCTCGACGTGACACTTTGTATTACAAGCCATTAGGAATACGGCAAGGATTAACGACTTCGGGAAAAGCTATTCTTGTCACAGTTGCAAGGACTTCAAGGTAAAGTGGGAAGGTAAAGCTCTTAATATTTGTTTCATACAAAGTGAAATAGGCATAAATATTTTTGATTTAGCAGGATAAAATATACCTTTAGTAAGTGTAAGGTCAGGTGTTCGTGTCCAACCAGGTGATCATTAATTAGATTTCCCATATAAAGTATCCAGGTGGTACTTAATGCAATGTTAGTACTGTATTAGTAGAATAACTTAACCAATGACATACCACGCTGAAAAATATACAGGCACATACATAAAACTTTAAAAGAGGAAAAAGTAATTATGAACGCTGGACGAAGTCCGAGTACATTAACATGAACATTTGAAGAGCTGGGGGCGTTAAAGTGGTGTTTGGCTTTAAATAATTACCACAGCTGAACGGTTGTTTGTGAAATATGACATTAAAACATTTAATGTATGGGGATAACAACAAAGCATGTGGCTACTTTACACGGTTCACTTTCACTGCCCGTTATGAAGTGTTATCGATCGGCGTTGGGTATATGCTTTGATTCCCGAACGATAATCGAAGCTTTGTGATAAGTGATGTAATTGTGTCAATGAGTTAAAATCTTAGGAGTTGTAGTTGTTAAGAAGTCCGCGAGGTACTGGAACAGGACGTCACAATAATCCCGGCCCCCTTACAAGGAGACCCCATGGCGATTGACACACACACACACACACACACACACACACAGAGAGAGAGAGAGAGAGAGAGAGAGAGAGAGAGAGAGAGAGAGAGAGAGAGAAACACACACTTTTGGTGTTTACCAAAGAACCAAAGGGTCGTTTAGATAAACATGTCTCTGGCCCGTCACCAACGGCTGGACACTAACCGCAGGTGCCATCTAGCGAGCGAGACTCACACTACCATTGCAATTTTACTAATCGACCGCTTGTGATTTGATCACAACCACACAGCGGTTGTTCGTCTTAAGTAAACGAGGTTTGCCCTCAGCGCGGACGCAGGGATCAATTATAATTACATATTGTGATTGAGCGGCTAATAACACCGTGCAGAGATTGCGGTTATAAAGCGAGATCATATGAATACAAAGCAGAGCAAAGAGAAGAGGCATTCTTCACGATGCTTTTATTACCGAGAGACGGAGAATACGGAAACAAGCTGTAGATACACTGAATAAAAGAAAACCATCTCGTTTTGACAGCGTGAAGAGATTAACCTCACAATGCAATCACTGAAAGAATGGTTTAACTGTAACGACCAAGTGAACAGCCAAGATCATCCTTTGCACCCTTTTTTTTATCACATCAATTTGCCCTCAGTTAAGACAGTTCACACCAGTTCATTAGAGGTCCGAGGTCCACAGGGACTTAATCCACCAGAGTGTGATTGGGCTGTGAGTGGCAACATCACTAAAGTAATGTAGCGGTCACTAAGGCGTATGCATATTGGAAAAAATCATTCCTGGTGCTTTTAGTTCTGCTGCGTAGTCGATGAAATAGACTGACGAGCGAGACAGAATAAACGGCTTTTCCCCGCGGCGTTGCAAATTAAATGGCAGTGTGTTTGCGCTAAAATTAAATAAACAAATGGAAAAGAGTATACTGTCGACAGGAGAGAAAAGGAATTTTAGCAGCGATTTAGATCAAACGGCAAGGCTCTGTGGTTTGAGCANGCTTGACACGTACCCTTCGCCATGGTCTTCAGCAGGGTGTGTCAAAACCTGGGCCCGGTTTCATCAAGGCTGGGTAGGCTATCCTGTGGATAACACTATCCATGGTATAAATCTCTTATTCTCTGGATAGTTATCCTCTGTATAAATTTGTGTTTCATAAAGGCTGGATAAAGAGCATGACAGTAATACAATGGATAACAATTTATCCAATACCATATTTAGAAAAAGACATTCCCATAATGCAGTTGGTTGGTATAAACATTATAAAAGCCATGATAGTTGCTAACAAAAAGTGATCTATACCATATTTGGAAAATAAATAACCCATAATAAACAATATTCTAAGTATATTTCAAGATGGTACATTCATTAAAATAATGGGGAAAACATCTACAGGATATTTTAGTGTCAGTGTCAATAACACATGACATTGCATTAGTTGTGCCTCATGCAATGTTTACACAGATCTGCAGTTGAAGGGCAAGGTCGTGACATACTTTCTAACAAAATGGCTGACTTGGAACATTTGGCAGATTCAATTTCTGTCAGAAGCAGTGTAGACATTTTTCGTCGATTTTAAAGGTATGTTTTAGTAAAATAAAGATATTGGTCTCTCACAGAGATTGCATGGGTTTTGTTCGTAGCAGGCGCAATGTCAACTTTGATAAAGTCTGTTATGTAATCCAATGATTCAGCATCACTTAAATCATCAAAAGCAAACATACATCTTCTAAAATTCTCTTTCTAATCTAATTCTAATTCTACGCCTGTGTATTCTCATAGGATTTACTCCTAAAGCAAGCAGGTTCGCCATTTTTGATGATTTAACAGCATGATAGCAGATTTATCCCACCTATTTCGACCGGACAACTTTATCCTCTGGATAAGCTGATTTATCCCCTGGCTAACGCTATCCACTGTTGATGAAACGCACTATCCTCTGGACAGCTCTATCCAGAGGATAGCGGCCATTTTTATCCATAGGATAGCGCTATCCAGCCTTGATGAAACCGGGCCCTGGTGTCCAGCAAATGTGTGTAAAGATTTTTTCTTGGCAACACATGGTAATTTGGGTTAGGGTCAAACTTTTAGTCATGCCACATTAGCTACCCTGAAAGCGTTGGTGCCGAAGTTTTCGACGAAGCCCATGTTGTAGTCCCTTGGTGATACTTAGTGTTGGCTATTTACGGGTATTGTGGCTGCAGCCAGAAAATGACCACAGTTCAGAAAGTACATTTCAAAATAGATGCTCTTTGATTCACTGCTGCGATCTCCAGCTACACACACTGGACAATAGAAGTGTCACCCCCTGAAT